CCATGGTCGATGGTATCGAAGGCCGCCGAGAGGTCAAGAAGCACTAGGATAGAGGAATGACCTCTATCCCTGGCCCACCAGAGATCATGCACGACCAAAGCAGTTTCAGTGCCGTAACCAGGCCTGAAACCCGACTGAAAGGGATCCAGATAATCCGTTTCATCCAAGGTCCATTGGAGTTGAAAGGCCACCATCTTCTCAACAACCTTCCCCATGAATGGGAGGTTGGAGACTGGACAATAGTTGTTCAAAATGGCTGGATCCAGGGAAGGTTTCTTGAGGAGGGGTCTCACCACCGCATCCTTTAGGGGGTGCGGGAAGGATCCCTCCTGAAGAGAGGTGTTAATAATCCCCTGGAGCCAGCCACGCGTCACCTCCCTGCTGGCCGAGACCAGCCAGGAGGGACATGGATCCAGTAAACAGGTGGAGGCGCTCACCGCTCCCATGGCCTTGTCCACTTCCTCAGGAGCGGCAAGTTGAAACTCGCTCCATAAAACATGTTCAAAGAGCAACAGTGGCAACAAGGGACTATGAAGGGATACTGAAGAAACTGGCAATGCTTTAATTTAACTGGCAATGATACCATATAAGGGATTTCTTTCGATGGTCTAAATGGTCCCTTCCCATTCTAATGACTGTTTCCTTAATGTGTGATCCTGGCCAGCTCAAGGTTGACTCAGCCCTCCATCCTTCCGAAGGTTGATAAAATGAGGACCAAAATTGTTGGGGGCAATATGCTGACTCTGTAAACCACTTAGTGAGCGCTGTAAACCACTGTGAAGCGGTATATAAATCTAAGTGCTTTTGCCATTATTGTCTACTTATGCAAGTAGCTATGAAAATATTGCCAAGCCAAAGCATAAAGAAAACTTGGTGACCACAGTGATATATTTCTGATCCTGCCAGTAGAACATTTTAAGGTCTATTTTAAATTTTATCTCACATCCAATCAGATTCCTGTAAAGAGAAATAATCCAACATCCTTTAACATTATTTTACTCTATCTGTCTAATATTCACACTACAGCAGGAAGCCAACTCTATTTCTGATCATTCCCCGAACTAATTAGTTCCTGATCATAGATCAGGGGTCTCCAATCTCCAACACTCAAAGAGCCATTTGGACCTGTTTCCCTCAGAAAACATTAGGAGTCACAAAACCTGGGTGGGTGTGGCCAACTCAACATCACTCCCACCCAGTCACATGGTTCTGAGTGTTTTCCATGGAAAATGGGTCTCTCTCTCCCTTCCTCCCTCGTTCTTCTTTTTCCTCTCCCTCTCCCTCTTTCTCTCTCTCCCCTTCTCTCTCTCTCTCCCTCTTTTCCATCTCTCCTTCTCTCCCTCTGGCTCTCATTTCTGTGTCCCTCTCCCCTTGTTTCTTTTTTCTCTCTAATTCACTCCCTCCATCATTTTCTCATTTCTTTCTCTCCTTTTCTTTCTCATCTCTCTCTTCCCTCGCCCTCCTTTCCCAGTTACTCCTCACATGGCCTGAGAAGGTAAGGGTGACGGTGGGTATGGAGACTCACTCCATATTCCAGAGTGGGAGGGAAGTGTCCCTGTACTTGCCTCTTATCTACCAGGTGCTTCTTATTGCTATGCACACTTCGGTCGCTCAGGGAGATGCACAACGTTCTCTGGTCTGAGACACTGGCCCGGCCCGGCTGCAGCCAATGCTCCGTGTCGTAATGGGCTCCAAGAGGAGGAGGGGAAGGTATCTCTCCCATTGTGAAGCACACTAAATTTAAGTGTGCTGTGTAAGGTACTGCTCTTGCGGCACCTTTCGCAGCACACTTAAATTTAGCATCCTTTACAATGGGGGAGATGGCATCCCCTCCTCCTCCTGGAGCCCATTAAGATGCGGAGAATTGGCTGCAGCCAGGCAGGGGCAAGTGTCTCGAGGCAGAGATCAAGTTGTGCGTCTCCCTGAGTGACTGAGGTGCATGCAGTCAATGTTCCCTCTATGCTGCGCGCCTGCGCGCATAACAAGAAAACACCATGCAGACGTATTAAACTGCAGCGCAGTGTTTCTTTAAATGTGACTGAAAATATCCCCCCTCCCTCTCTTCTCTCTCTGCACTGAACTCTGTCCTCCATCTGGTGATTGGTGAAATCAAGGAAGACTCTGCCGGAGACCAATGACGCTGCAGAACAGAGAATTCCCATTGGTCCTATGGGGCTTCGTCAGTTCCTGGGAAAATGTGATTCGCTGTTTGTAGCCTGTGTTTCTCTGCACATCCGGGGTTTCTCAGGCATTGCGTCGTCTGAAGCCCCGTTCTGGACTGGGCAGTCTTTCTGCGATCCCTTCGCTTTGGGGAGAGGGAACCAGGGTGGAATTGGACTGCCTGAGCCAAAGGGGTCCACGGGATCCTTGATTTTTGAGCAGTACCAATCCTTTCCACTCTTTCCTTTCCCTTTCTGTCCTTCTTCTATCTTCCTTTCCTTTTCCTTTTCTTTTTCCTTTCCTTTCTCTTTTCCTTTCATTTTTCCTTTCCTTTTTCCTTTCCTTCTTTTCCATTTCCTTTCCTTTCTCCTTTCCTTTCTTTTCCTTTCCTTATATCCTTTTCCCTTCCCTTCCCCTCCCTTCTTCATTCTTTTCTTTCTTCTTTCTCATTTCCTTTCCTTTTTCCTTTCCTTTCTTTTTCTTTGCTTTCCTTTTCCTTTCCTTCTTTTCCATTTCCTTTCCTTTCTCTTTTCCTTTCCTTATTTCCTTTTCCTTTTGCCTTCCTTTTCTCTGCCCCTTCATCCTTTCCTTTCTTCTTTCTCATTTCATTTCCTTTTTCCTTTCCTTCTTTTCCATTTCCTTTCTCTTTTCCTTTCCTTTCTTCTTTCCCATTTCCTTTTCTTTCTCCTTTTCTTCTTTTCCATTTCCTTTTCTTTTTCCTTTCCTTTTCTTCTTTCCCATTTCCTTTCCTTCCCCCTTCTTTTCCTTCCTTTACTTTTTCCTTTCCTTTTCTTCTTTCCCATTTCCTTTCCCTCCCCCTTCCTTTCCTTCCTTCCTTCCTGGGGGTCTGAGGGAGAGGGAGGGGACTCTTTTCCTCCTTGCCCCACTCCCCAACATCTGCTCTGATGGCAATTATGGCTAAAAAAATATTCAGGTGCTCAGGCATGAAAACATGCCGCTCAAACACTATACTTTTCTGCACACACTGAAAAAAAATTTGAGGGAACATTGCACGCAGTATCCGGAAGAAGCGCCTGCAAGATGAGAGGCAAGTACAGGGGCGTTTTCCTTCTGTTCTGGAATATGGAGCAAGTTTCAATACCCACTATCTCCCTTACCTTCTCAGGCTACGCAAGGAGTGACTGGGAGGGGAGGGTGAGGGTTGGGGCCAGTCAGCCAACAGGGAGCCACAGCAGGGGGATGAAGGAGCTCCATGTGGCTCAGTAACCATACGTTGCCAACACCCATCCTAGATCATTAGGAAGCCTACACAATGAAGATTCTCTGCTACTGAAATTTGAGCCCAAATTCACGGTAGACAGGAAGGAGAGGGATGATTGCAGAGAGTACGCATTCCTTTTCACAAAATAGTAACTGTATGTCAGGAAAGGTTTCAATGGGACATTATTTTGCTTCTGCTTACCCAATCCTTTCATTGCCTTGCGAAGAGCTTCAGCATCACCTCTGGCATCAAATCCAGGGAAGTCTTTTACAGTACCTCTTGTATACTAGAAGAAAAATAAAATTTTGTTCATGTAGCATCCTTTTAGTGACATTTATTAGAAAACTGATAATCAAGAAACATGAGTTAAAAAATCTAAATATTGATCCCTTAGAAAATAATCTGCTTTAAACCTAATAGTAGTAAATCTATATGATCTGACACAATTTGCAAATATTGAGTGCAAAGATTTCTTATATGGTAAAAGCTTGCATTCGAATATTACAAATCAGATCTTGAGCAAAGCTTGTATAGTAGAATTTGGAGGTTTGGGAATCAGCTCTCTAACAATTCCCTAGAAAGGCATTTATGGTCTCTTCTGTGTAACAAAATGATGTGTTGTTATGTATGTGTTTAGCCACTCTGTTACAAACAAGAAAGACAAGAACATTTCCAGAGTTTACTGATAAAACAGGTATTGAATATTAAAAATAATTTTCCCAGAAGGATATGAATAAAAAATGAGTTTAACAATATCTTCCTGGCAGTTCTTTCATAGCACAATTATATTAAAAATAATTCATATTCTGTGATTAGTTTATATAGGAGTTATATGGAACACAGTTGTAAAGAGCTTACCGTATTTTCACCCATATAACCCGCGGGTTATATG